CGATTTGTCTGAGATGAAGACCAGGTTCTTAACTTGTTTCCTGTATAGACATTAGACATTGTGCATAAATTAGCTAAATTTCAAGTGCCCCACGGGTATCCTACGAACCACTCATATATTTCCAATGAAACTTGGTACATAGCTGGGCTATTATCATGTGCAAACCTTTCGTTGAAATTCATGCCTTGTAACCTGATTTGCATTTACGGAACTTGATTTAAATACTTGGTGCTCTCTGATTGTTTTTTACATCTCAAGGCGCGTAACTATATTAGCCACCAGATTTTTTTATCTAACTTATTCAATAAAAATATTTTTCATTTCCCTTTCGTATTCCTCCAATATCTTCAACATACAGTGGTACTGTCGTACTTTTGAATGTTTGTACCATCAACTTCGTTATGTCTCAGGGTGTCTGTAAATTGTTATAGTAAAGTGAACATGTATACAAAGTTACATTTCTTATGAGATGTTTTGTAATAAATAATACTAAATATTATAATTATTATTATTACTATTATTATATGTTACTATTTCTACTTCCACAACACAGATATGACCTCAGTTGTCGGGAGTATAATTGGCTTGACGCAAATTAAATGCTGGGTCACTTGTAAAGCAAAATAAATATTCGTAAAATAATTTAATATTTGGATATTATCTGTCCTGTGTACATTGCCTGTGGCCCTCATAGCACAGCAAATTTCATCATTTTGTGACTTTTTATACGAAACTTTTCTTTTTATGATAAAAAAACACATTTTGCAGCAATTGTTAAAGATACAAATGTCGAAAAAATAGATATGAACATTGCATGAGGCATGTATGATCAGTTTTCTGACAATCCTAGTTCGCGTTGCAAATAGTGTGGTTCTTGGTTTGAAGGGAGCCTGCAAGACTAGCATTCAGTATTAAAATTGTTAATATTAAACCTCAGGAATAGAATTTCATTGGTGAAAAGTGCACATAATCGACGCTACAAAACTATGATTGCACCAATATGAGTTGGAAGACGATTTGGCAGAATACAACAATTGGGGCCCTCAATGTTGGACTCACGATACTACAGGCGAAGAGATTTGAACACTGGGGATAATGTTGGAAATGACAGATTTCCCGCTACACATAGTTGAATTCTGAAGTATTAACTACATGGCGATAAGAAAATGCTGATTGGTTTGTCTTGTGCATAAGCACTAATTCAGCATTATACCGGAACGTTTTGAGTACCGGTTTATTATATAAATGTAAATTAAGCTATTTAATATTATTTACATCGTCAGTCTATTGACTACAAACGAAATTGTAATACCGCCCTCGCATGTAAATTGTGCACACATCTATGCAATTGCTGACAGAGGGCGCTACTTACTCTGGTGCCACAATTCATACACGATATTTTCACACCAACAATACAATAATAACGTATCTCCGTTTGAACACGCCCTTCCTTGTATTTTTTTATAAAATAAGGATGTTTTGATTGTAATAAAAGAAGCAGGGAGTAAAATGGTATTCAATAATCTGGGAAAGAAGTTGTTTCTGACTTTGCAGAACACATTAGACGGAACACGCAGACACAGACAGTTTATGAAATTGGACTTATCCCTGAAACAATAAACTAAATCAAGTATTATTTTATCGATTGCATAATTAAACATACAGACTTCTAGTAAATATGATTTGAACTAAGACAAGGCAATCCGCACAAAATATATTTAAAAACAATATTTTACTACCTGGAAATTTGACTAAATCTTGAATAAGTTGGTGAATATATAAGGTGTAACGTTTATATGTCTCGATAATTGGACACGTATCTCATAAAGTATCACAGCTATGTCACTAGATTGGTGTTTAGGTAAACACAAACTGAATTTACATTCATGTGAAGGAAATATCGAAATATCATTGGTAAGCAAAACAAAATATTCGAACTGAAATGCAGTAGTAGTATTCCAAGCAATCTCGAAGTGTTTTGAAATCATATAAAAACACACTGTTGGCAACATGCAAATCAGCCAGGGCTGAACTCATTCCGGCTACTGTACATCGCAACAACGTTCTTCCTTATATCAGTGTCGTATGGTTTATTGTTATTTTTCTTCTTCATCACGTGAATCATACTCATCAACAAAATTATCTGAGTCTGTCGAGTGTTTTCATCTTTTGTCTTGTTATCAAACGCCAATACTCTGTTACCGCACTTATAAAGCAAATTTCTTAAAAATTCAGGAGTGTCTTGCAGAAAATTTGTCAAAGAAACACCGTCGTCCGATAACTGATTTTTCCTTGTAAATAGAACGATCAAATATCGATGAATGTCCGGTCCAAAAATTAGTTCCAGATTCCTCAGACATTTTTGATGTTCTGGCGTGAGCCTATCATTGATGTTGAACGTCAGAATAATGGCATCCAGTCCACCACCTTCCATGTTGGCGATTTTGGTACACTTGCTGATTTCTAGAGCCACAGACTTCGGACCACCCTTCCCTCTATTAGTGCTGCCATCGCGTAGAAGTATAGGCGGGGTGTCGATGACGATCAAGTTATTTTCACCGATGTGTGTTCCCCAATCTGTTTCTTGCGTGATAGACACCAATGAACGCCGACTACGGAACCTTTCCACGCCGAGTAGGTTGTTGCCAGTTCGAACTTTTACCGTTTCCTATCATACCGACCAACACCATAGATACGGTGTCTTTCCTCAATGGACTTCTGCTATCGATACTCATGGCTATTATGTAAACCCAGTGGAATTGTTCTAACAGTATACAAAGTCTTAATCAGGCAATGTGTTTACTTGCGACTAGCGTTGGTGAGTTTAAAGGATAATACGTCGTGAATGCAACAAAATTATTACGATACTGTCAGTTATACCTCGTGACCACGACTATACGCAAGCGCCCTGACCTATGCCATATCAAACGACAAAAAGCAAACTATTAACCTTTAAACGTAACATGCAAGTCGTATCCAATAACTCTAATTTATTGGCAGAGGTGCATACAGGACACTGGCATTTAATAGTAAGTTCAAAGACGTTGATAGCGCTATATAGTGTTGGTGTGTATATGATTACATAAAACATTTACTATGATTATACTCGACTGCTGGCGAAACCGAAAATAAGGCATCTGCTCTTTACTCAACTAAAATTCTAGTTTATTCATGACGCACATCTACGGAGAACTAATTTACATATGAACGCTATTGTTTCAAACGACAGTACCAGACAATCTCGTACCACGCATGACATCATCCTTTATTCGGAATCTAGTACTTAGTCCTTGTTTATTTCAAAACATGTTTCAATATATGCAGGACAGATTGACCTTTCGCCTATACTATAATAGACTTCAGTTTACCCAGGCTAGGTACGTGAAATCACCAGTAGTTAGAGCAAGTACTTAAACAAACGATCATCAAATTAAATTAAATATTACAATTATATTATATTGTGAGAAGTA